TCTGCTGTGCCATGTGGGTTGCTCCCTGGCCAGGGATTGAACTCGTGCTGCAATGGCTGTGGATTGCTTCATAGGTTGCATCTTAGCCCCTTGCGCCACCAGGGAGGCCCTCAGATCTTAATTTTGACCTGCCTCCCTAACCAATTTAAGTCATTTTGCGTCTTTTTTTTTTTTTTTTTTTTTTTTGGTCACTATCATATCAAAGAGTGCCATACTTCATGAGAGTTTACTATTTATAAATCTGCTTCAGACCTTTAAAATTGACGTTTTTCAGCAGGTCCTTTATGGTGGCTGGTTTCTTTACTCATGGTGATAATGTGTTCATAATAATATACTGAGCATACATTTGCTAAACAGTTATTGTTCAAATATACACGTTCAGGTGGGGTTCCATTAAGTGTGGGCAGATTTTATTGAACTGTGTGTTGCCTCTGTTTCTTCCTGTGTAAGTGAACATAGCAATAGTTACTGTTAGGATTTCTTTTTTTTTCTTTTTTTTTAAAGATTTACTTATTTATGCATACAAGAGCTGGGGTACAGGCCAGAGATGTGGGGGGGTGAGAGGATTAACCAGAGATAGAATGGGGAACAGAACAGGCAGACTGGCTGAAATACACTGCTGAGGGGAGCAGCGGGCAAGACAGGAGAGGTCTGCTGCGCCACGTGGGTAGCTCCCTGGCCTGCCGAGGATTGAACTCATGCTGCAGGGATTGCTTCATAGTGAGGTGCTTAACCCAAAGTGCCACCAGGGAGGTCCTACTGGGAGGATTTCAACAGGTAGATTTGAGTATATATAATGGCATATTAATTCATTAAGCACTTAATATATTCTAGGCTTGTGCTAAATGCTGTGCATTGACACCTCATTTATTGCCCCTCCCCCCCCAAATCCAGTGATGTACATGCTACTGTTCTTCCCTTCTCACTGCTGAGGAAGCTTAGATGCTATGGAGGTTAAGTTACGTTCTCAGGGTTGAAGAGCTAATAAATGGCCATCAGAATAAAATTCTGGACTGTCTGAGGCCAGACTTTTATATTTTGGCTTGTGCTTACTGCATATGTCAAACGCAGTTTATTCATAGTGTAGAATCCCCCTTAACATCTGCTGGCCAGACAGCGCTCTCAGTCTGCCAGGCCACAGGACAAATGGGTGAAGTGCACCAAAGAGAGCACTTTAAGACCCTGACAGCATGTAGGATAGGAAAGGCATCTGTGGCAGAATCCAGGTGAGTCTGGCTCTCCTCCACCTCCTATGTCCTACTTCTTGTGGACCAGGGCATGGTGCTGCACTGCTTCAGTGGGCACTAGTTAGGTGGTCAGGGCTGTTTTGGCTCCAAGCCACGTGGGGAATTGCTGCTTTATATAACTGAGGAATCTCTTAGCTTGAGCCTCATGTGCATGTGGTTTTATAACCCTGGTAGTTTCTGTTTCTAATATGTTTATATGATTCTACTGGGGCAGTTTGTCTTCACAATGATACAGATACTTGTTGGCAATAATGATTTTTCCCCACCACCTTTAGTCATCCTTTACCCAATCTGAATAAATGTTTGACTCTTTTCATCTTTCTTTATGAGGCGGAAGGCACTGGAATGCAATCATTTCTGTAGTGGCTTATGTGGTTTCCTAGGTGCCGTGAGTTCTGTGGTGACATGATGCCTGTATATTTTAGGAGGGAGGGTGGGAGAAGAAGGAAACTGAAGTCCTGTTGATGCAGAGGGATGCGGTAGGAAATTTAACAGCCACAAAGATTTATTGGCTGAGTGTAAGGAAGGTAACAATGATCTATCACTGAAGTTTAAAATATGATACTCTAGTATGTAAAATATTTAATGACCTGTGTGGAACTTTTAAACCTACTGTCTTCTGTTTTTTTTTTTTTCTCTTTTGTGTTCCTGTAAAATTATCTTTGAATTGCAAAATGAAGTGTTTTTAAATAGCTATGATAATTTTGGTGATTCTTTTTGTGTTTCATACCACCCACAAATTTGCTAAATGCAAGTATCTTTTTTTTCCCCCCCATGGAACACTTTATTTATTTATTTTTTTATAATAAATTTTATTTTTATATTCCCCATACAATTGCAACCCCCTTATTTTGACCCAATCCCTCCTCTCCCTCCCCCTACCCCCCATAGAGTGTCTCTGGTTTATAGTTTTTTGTTGATTTTGATTTTCACTTTCTTATAGTTATTCATTTTCCTGGTCCCTTATTTAAGTTTTCTAGATTCCTGCTATGAGTGAGACCATCCGGTATTTTTCTTCTTCTTTCTGGCTTATTTCGCTGAGCATGATCCCTTCCAGCGCCATCCATGTTGCTGCAAATTGCATGTGTTTATCTTTTTTGAATGCTGAGTAATATTCCATGGTGTATATGTACCACATCTTCTTGATCTAGTCATCTATTTTTGGACATTTGGGTTGTTTCCAAAGCTTAGCTATTGTAAACAGTGCTGCTATAAACATAGGGGTGCAGGTGCTCTTTGGAACTGATGTTTCTGTGTCCTTTGGGTAAATACCTAGGAGTGGAATTGCTGGATCATAGGGAAGCTCTATGTTTAGTAGGTCCAGAAATCTCTACACAGCTCTCCATAGTGGTTGGACCAGTTTGCACTCCCACCAACATGCAGAAGGGTTCCTTTTTCTCCACACCCTCGCCAACATTTGTTGTTGCTAGTTTTTTTAATATGTGCCATTCTCACTGGTTTAAGATGGTATCTCATGGTAGTTTTGATTTGCATTTCCCTGATGACAAGTGATGTTGAACATTTTTTCATATGCCTGTTGGCCATTTGCATTTCCTCTTCGGAGAAGTTTCTTTTTAGCTCTTCTGCCCATTTTTTGACTGGATTATTTTCTTTGTTTTTGTTGAATCTCATTAGCTCTTTGCAGATTTTTGTGATCAGTCCTTTATCATTAGTGCTGTGTGCAAAAATGTTCTCCCAGTTGGTGGGGTTTCTCTTTGTTTTTGTCTCTTTTGCTGTGCAGAAGCTCTTTAATTTGTAAATGCAAGTATCTTGTTATGAATGTTTGATTCTGAGTTGAGAGTAAGAGTTTGCATACTGAAGAATAGGTCACCTGAAATTGCTTGCTAAATTTCAGTTAGTGAGTAGCAAGAATTCAGATATAAATATCATAAAAAAGAATATGTATTTTGGCTTCTAAGTTTCATTAGTAAGGGCTACAGATACAGAAGGGTTTCTCAGCGTTGGCACTATTGATATTTGAGGCCATATTGCCTTTTGTTGTGGAGGATTAAGACATCCTGTGCATTGGAAGATGCCTAACATCAACCCTGGTCCCTACCTGTTAGATGCTAGTAGTGTGTCTCCCCTTCCCCTAGCAATTGTAACAATCAAATAGGTCACCAGACATTGTCACATTGTGGTGGTGGTGGTAGGGAAGTGATGGCCAATTGTCTGCTGTTGAGAACCACAGCTGTAAAACCATTGCACTTAACTAAATTTGTAGATAATGTGAAAATTAGAAAAACAGAGAAAACTATTGTTAATAGCCTCCCAGAGGTAGTTCATTTTATCAGTTGCAGGGAAATAATTTTTTAATGAAGAAAAATGCAAATAGAAGAGGAAGAGAGTGCTTTTAGAAGTTAAAGCACACACACACACACACACCCCACTCAACTTTTTTTATAACAAGACTAGCACATATTAAACCTTATGGTTATATGATAGCTATTTCCTGAGACTTGGCCATCTATTGCCCCTTCCATTTGCTGTTCTGTGAAAATTGCCAACAGTGTGTATTTGTAAGCTCTCTTAGTCCCCTGCAAGGCAGTTCCAGTTGACCAGCTAGTTCTGTCTTACTGATCATAGTTAAACTTCAACTGGCCCTTCTTTTGTGACTTTGAATAGTTGAAATTTTCAACAAGGCAAGAATTTATCAGAGGATTTGTTTCCAGGTCCTCCAGCAGCTACTTGAACAGGGTTGCCTCACAATCTAGAATTCCACCTCTGCTGGTTTTGTGATCGGCACTGGAAAGTGTGCCATTCCTCTCACCAGTCAATGTGCATTGTTAATCCTCATTTTCTCCCTCACACTTTCTCTTCTCCTTGCTTGGGCAATAGCAGATAAATGCCTCCTTATGTGTCTTGTTCTCATTCCCTTCCTATGAGCTTTTTAAGTGGGAAGGCATTTATCTGTACAATTGCTTTATTTCATTTTTGCTATTTTGTGAAATTCAAAGTGTCCGTTGTAAGCATGCTGAAAGAAGTCAGCCTTTAATTTTAAAAGTGAATAGAATGTGAGACTGTTGACTTTTTTTTTTTTTCACTCCCGACATCAGGATTCATTTAGTTGTATGGAAGCAGAATTAATCTGGTTAAATAGCTGCACCTTCCCAGTAATCTTTGTTGTTGCTGAGACTTTCAGGTGTTTAGACATTTCTTGTTTTACCCGCATGGCATCACCCGCCTGAAAAATAAATGTTCATCTTATTTTATATTTGAAAAGCATCATTTAGTAAATTTATGTTATATATATGGCTTAGAGTTTATTTAATGAATGCACTTTTCCTTAAGTGGTATCATTACCAATACTTTATTACTGAGGCTCCCCATGAAGTAATCAATATGTGAATCTCATATATGTAAATACCAAAAATTTGCTTTATGTTTTAAGATACTATGCTGTGACTATCAAGTCTTTAGCACAGAAATAGTAATTATAAATTAAAATATTGTTATATTGCCATTTTTGAGATAGTTATATTGAAATTTTCACTGAATCTTTTCTAGAATTTAATTCATATATTTTAGGAACTAGCAGAGAAATTTTCCTTAGGGTATGCCAGAAGAGGAGCAAATAGATTTGATAAGGAAAAGTGAATGGTTTTTCTTTGAATATTATTGTTTTGGGTAATGACAGCAGCAGAATGCTAGAAGATATTCTCAGTTGCCTGTTCATTGCATTGTCTAGAATTGTCTATTTTAATCTGACTTGTAACCAAAATAATGGAAATATGATTTTTATTTCCATGGTAGGAGATGGAATAAACTGAGAATGCGGGACAAAGAGAAGTGTCTGAAGCTTGAAGACGATTCAGAGGAAAGCGATGCTGAATTTGATGAAGGTTTTAAAATGCCAGGTTTTCTGTTCAAAAAGCTTTTTAAGTATGTGCCATGTGTTCTTTCCTTTATGTCTGTCATCAAGCCATTGTGTACAAATTAATATTTTAGGAATTACACAGTAGTTACCTGTGGGCCCTTAAGGTACTTGCAGCAATTTATTGCAAATACAGATACTGTCAAATGAAATTTTAGCCACATGCTGTTCATTAAAATTAGATGATAATAAATTGACTAAAGTGCGCATTGGGTATGTTTGTAAACTGATGAATCTATATGGACCTGTCTCAGCAGACTAAAAGCAACACATTTAAAAAGCCATCCATGTTGAGTTGTTTTTTTGTTCTTAGTAATTTTAAGGTACCAAAGCTCTAATTTCTTAAGTCAGATTAATTAAGAAGAGTTGTATATTAAAATCAATAGTAGGAGAGGTTTTTTTTTTTTTTTTTTACTACTGTGTGGAAATAAACTGTTGAGATTATTTTCTCTTGTCTCATATTGTACCTAAGGGTATACTACTTTTGAACTGACCAAATGTACATCTAAATATTTTATGTAGATGTTGTTCTAAAAGAGAAGATATAGGCAAATGGCAAATGCCTCCAGGATTAAGGTGCTCTTTGAAACTGACTAAACTGCATATGTGAAGTGACCAAGTACTCTAGATAACCAGATACTGTGTGATAGATGCATGCCCATAAGCCTACATGGCCTGGGTGGATCTCCCATGATGAATGTAAATTCTTAGGCACATTTTCAATCTCATCACTCCTGGGATTTACTTAACAAGATACTTTAGGAAGGCTTCGTCAATGCACATAGGAAGTTAAACCATTAAACAGCTTCTTTCTGTCTTTGTATTATCACTTGGTAGTTGGGTGGAGATAGACTTCCTTTTTTAAGGTGATTATATTTAATCTCCTGCATAGATAAAGCGGTCAGCCATCTAAATATCTTAAACTTGTATAGGATAACTATTTAAAAATAGCATGTATTTAATATTTCCTCTCAGAGAGCTTTTAATTTTTCTTCCTATGGAGGGGGGCAGCTTGGGAAGTAGTTATTTCATCCCACTGAACATATAGGGTAGTTGCATCCTAAAGATGTTAAGTGTCTTGATGGGATTGCCATAACTCGACAGAAGAATTATGTAGATGTTCAAATCTGAGTCTCTAATAATTTTGGCAGGCAAATCATTTTATAGCCCTGAGAGGTGGCTGCTTTGTTTATTGCTTCTCCCAAATGAAAATTAACTATGGAAAGATAAATAAAGACAACAGTTATAGGCAACTCTTTTTATCTTCTCTAAAGTGATTGCTTATTAAGGAATAGACCAAATAGTGTCAGTGTTGTGCTACCAAAAGGAATACCCAAATAATAGGTTAAATTAATTTAACAAAGACAGGATTCTTCTGCTTGTGTAGGAAGTGATTTGGCAAATATCCTCAAGAGTCAAGTTGAATGTGCTTTTTTTGTATAAATGTGATTTTCTGGCAAAGAAATTTCACAGTTAATAGAAACAAACTTCGCTTAGTAAGAGTCTGTAGGAGCCAGTGTATTGACTATTTACCATGTAAGTACATGTTTGTTTTTTCAATCTTAATTGCATGTTCCTAGAAGTATTTTGTTTTGTCTCTCAAAAGCAGAATTTTAAATATTTCATAAATGTAAGACTTCTATACCTTTTTCTATTCAAAAAACACTAGTAGGATTCGATAATGTCTCCATTTTTCTTTTGTGATTAAGTTTTGCTAGGCCAATTTAATTTCAATCTGTAGATATATTTTTACTGTATTTACCATACTCTGGAATTAAATTAACAGGGTATAGTTGTACACAAGGGAGTAGGAAGGTACAATTATCCATTTAAGTGCTATTTTCTGCAAGATTATGTTTAACTTTTAAAATTCTGTTTTGAAAGGTTGTCCAGCAAATGCATTCATCTATATAATTTAGCAATCAAATGACAAACTTCAATCTTTTGACCTTACTTTTAGCCACACTGGCAAATGCAATGTTGGATTAGTGTGATGATGCCAAGATCTCTCTGTCCATGGTCATTTTGTGATGCTTCAGCTTCATGGAGAAAGCAGAGCATAGTAATTTCTTCACTGTTGTACAATAGCTTGTAAATATCTTTAACTTTTCCTGAAGAATAATTTTATATGTTTTTCAAAGGTACTGAAAGCTAAATTCTAGAACCTGTTTTCACTTAAAGTATATAATTGTCTTACAACCTTTGTAATTAGGAAATTAAAGCAATAAAACTTTAGTCAGTTAGTGGCACTCCTATAAGCAAAACCCAGGCCTTCAACTCTTCATCAGTGATACATGCCTACCAACCAGTGTGCCAGTGCAATCTGAGGTCCTTTCTTGAAAGTAAAATTCACTCTTGGCTGTCTTTGTACAATGTCCCCAATCATTGGGGAGTCCCATATAGTGATGTGACTTATGGGGGTCGCCTAGTGTGTGTTTTCCTTAAAGTCATTTCTTTAGTGTCAGTCATCTTCTAGTAAACAACAATAATGCTGTTTGAATGCCCTTGAAGATAATATTTGTAAATTAGCAACTACCCAGCACACTGATACTACCTCTCCTGGGTCACATTGAGAGTCCAAATGTCTTAACTCCCTCCCAAACTCCTTCTGGGATATACCATCCTGGTCACCATTTCTTACTCCTTTCATGATTACTTGATCACCACTTTCTAGATTCTTTCTCCTTAAGTAGTTGGCCCCAAACAGAGAGAGATTTTGGACTTGTGTTGGGTGGAGGCTGTGTGGTATACTGGTGAAATGGAATGATTTCTGGAAAATTTTGGTTTCAGCTCTTCCCCTAGTTAAAGGGGGTGGATTGACTAGAATTCATTATATTGTATATTAGTTTTGTTCAGAGGATTATGGATTGCTGTTTTTCCCATAGCTGAGTACAGTGTAGCCAGTTCACAGCCAGCTGTTATTTTAGATCAGAAAATCTGATCCTGGGCCTCCCTGGTGGCGCAGGGGTTGGGACGCAGCCTATGAAGCTGTTTGCAGCCACTGCAGCATGGGTTCAATCCCTGGCCAGGGAGCTACCCATATGGCACAGCAGACTTCTCCTGGCTCGCCCGCTGTTCCCCTCAGCTGTGTGTTTCGGTCAATCTGCCTGTTCTGTTTCCCTCTCTGTCTCTGGTGAGTCCTCTTCCTGCCCCCCCACCTCTGGCGGGGGGTGGGGGGCAAAATAAATAAATCTTAAAAAAGAAAAAAAGAAAATCTGATCCTTAACATAGTTGACATTTTGGGTCAAATTAGTATTTTCTTTGTTGTAGGGACTATCCTATGCATTGTAGGATGTTGAACAGCATCTCTGACATCTACCCACCAGATGACATTGTCCTTTCCCAGTTGTAACTGTCAATATCCTGCCAAATGTCCCATGCAGAGAAATGTCCCCCACTCCCCCTTGAGAACCACTGGTCAAAATTATCTCCTAACACTTTGGAATCAGAGGTGCAGAATTTCAGTTCTGGATGGCTCATTTTTTCCCTCATTTGTGTGTGACCTTTGATAAGTTATTTAATCTCTCTGTGCCTTCATTTTTCTATCCGTAAAATGTGCCAATTATGTCCATTCCATGAGCCTTCATTTGGGGCTATATACAATCCACATGTACTGGTGCCTCCCAGCAGTAAGTTTCTTAAGTGGTAGTCATTATTCTCTGATTACATAGCTTTGTTAGTAGAATTTGTCCTTCCCAAATTAAATCATCTTCTATCTGTACTATCTACTTCATTGTGTTTTTAAAAAAATCTTCTCCCCTGGGGTGCAGATTCAGTTTATGAATTACAATTAGCAAACTTATTCAAAGTTTTCCTTTGCATGGTAGATAATAATAGCAACAGTTGGAGTCAGAGTTACAGAACTGATGTGCAAAATGCTGGAAGAAAGTTAGTTATAACATATTTACTCAGAGGAGATTAAATGAAAGAGTTCAGCAGGGACAGAAGTCCACAATGAGATTTTAAGTAGACATTCCACAACCCAAATAATAAACTTTTGGGTAGTAAAACAACAAAAGCACCTGCTTTGAATGTGGGAAGCGTACTAGCCTTGGTATTTTCTTTGAAAAAAAAAAAAAAATCTTTAGCTTTCCTTGTCTCTTAACTTAAACATTGTTATTTGCTTTAGATCTTTTTACCTGACACATAATCTTCCTATCCTTCCATGATGTTTAAATCTTTCACTCTCAAAATGCTTTTTGCATTAATTACTACTTATTAAAAAAACTTTACTTTTGGGATATAGATTAAACATGCTATTCTTTATTTTTAAAGAGGGAAAATATATATTTGTCTTTGACCTGTACTCCCGATCTAAAATTTTAGTGGCCCTGGTCTTTTTGTATCTATGGTAAAGTCCCTGAATCGAGTTCTGCTTTAAAATATTAAATAGACCTTTTGTATTGTTGAGTCTTTAAACTGTTCTTTTTTTGCATCTGCTAGTAATATGACAGAATCATCTGTTATGTACTAATCTTGTAAGCAGCCACATTATTCAGACTGTTTATGGCCTTAAAATATAATTTAATTTTTCCTATAAAAGTAATATGATTACCAAGTGACTTTCAGCAGTATATGCTGTAAATTGTGATGTTTTCCCTTTTTTGACGTTGCTCATATTAAAAAGGAAATGTTCATGCTTTCTTTTCATTGAAAAATTATTGGAATTTTATATAACTAAAAATATTTGAGAATTTTTTCCCCAGAAAGATACTGAAAAGACAGTAAGTTTATGCTTATTTACCAGGCTATTTCTAATGTTGAAAAAGAAATGAAATAGTCTCTAATTATCCCATCTATCAATTTAATTAGAAATGTGTTAACATTCTGTAAAGAAAAATTTGTGATTTTATGCCTAGGTGATCAAAAATGTATGACCTTATAAATATAATACTCATGTAAAACACACATCCGGCATGTTTCTCTGACTGGTACTAGAATCTAGCCAAATGATTAATTCATGAGTACTTTCTGTTATGATCTGTATTACCCACCATTTGCCATTTTCTTTTCCTTGTTGGTGTTTGTTGTTGTAGGTACCAGCAGACAGGTGTTAGGTGGCTGTGGGAATTGCACTGCCAGCAGGCAGGAGGAATTCTGGGAGACGAAATGGGATTGGGCAAGACCATCCAGATAATTGCCTTCTTGGCAGGTCTGAGCTACAGCAAGATCAGGACTCGTGGTTCAAATTACAGGCAAGTGCTCCTCTGCAGACTGTCAGTCTGTGGAGCTCAATTAATATTTCATCAGATGTATTGCTGTGGAGGAGGGTCTTGTGAATTATTGATGACATTTCAATTACAATATTCCTTTAATTCTTTTAGTGGGGGACATCAAAGGAAAATTTTTACGAGACAATGGAGCTGTAGGGCAGGAGAAATTAAACATGTAACACTTTTAATGAATTCCAGGCATTGATGCTTCATTTTGCAGATGAGCCCCACTAGATGTTTTGGGTCAATACAGTGTCTAAGGTTAGCATCTACAAATGGATTGTTTACAAACTCAATTATGTTAATATCAATAGTTTACACAATATGGAATTTTAAATTAGACATAATACCTTTAGTTCCATTTATTAAATTTTACATTAAAATATTTGTTCTGGCAGGAGACCAGGTGAGCATTACAGTAAGTACAAAGTCTATTCATGGAGAAAGTTGGAGCTCTGGTGAAGCCATTCTCCTGAACTTCTTTTATAATCAATGTGGACGATAGCACTTTTTTTTTTTAAATGAAGTTTCTTGTCTGCTTACTATCCTTTCTATCCCCTCTCCCAATCTTTAAGAATTTTATGTAAATTCTAAGGTCAAAGCCAAAAGGATGTCTAAAATGAAAGAAAACTGTGTTTAGATTCTAATCTTTATTCTTGTTAGGAATTTAAACTATTAAAACTGTTCAGGAAGAAATAGCATTTAAACTTTGTTAGTTCAGTATGATAGGACTGGAATATCTTGAATTAAAGTACAGTGAGCATTTCCATATTTAAGCTGTGAATTGGCTTTATGTAAATCAGTATCCATAAAAAAAATAATGGTAGGTGAATTAGGTGGGTTATTTATTTATTTATTTTTATTGAGGTAAAAGTGATTTACAACACTGTGATTCAGAAGCATAGGATCACACCTCCTCAGATGCATGTCACCACACCACATCCACCACCAAGGCACCCACAATCCTTTTGTGGGATATTTAATTTTGAACCTATATAATCCAAGACTATTTTGGCCAATAAGTTGATCTGACGACTAACAGCAAGGTGTGTACCAGGTGGTTATCTCATAGAAAAATCAGGTACTCAGTAGATACAATTTGAAGACACCTTTAAAATATTCTCAGTGGGCCTGAAGTCAGCAACTGTAGAAAGTTACTATCCTTAACTGGCTCATTGGCAGGGAAACATTTAGTAGAGAGCCAAATACCTGTAATAAACTATTGAGTAAAGAACATTTAAATCTTCAGAGTTTGGCTTTGTTTTTATTTCTTACTCTTCATTTTAGCAGATCAGCACTTCTCGGGAGAAGAATTTGAAGTTTTAGAGTATTTTAGAAATATCTATATAGACTTAAAAGGGGAAAAATTTGTATGTTTTTTTTAATACTAGATGGTTTGTTGTTATTCCAAGGACGTTATATCAACACAAAAGATTTTCTTCAAATATTAGGGTTTCATTATGTTTTGCTAGAAACAAAGGGAAAAGTCAAAGTTAAAAATGGGCATTTAGTGTTTTCTTATATATGATTGCCATTAGTTTAAAATTTTAAAAAATGCTGTGTTCTAACTAGGCTTTTTTGGTTGGCTTGGTCGTCTCTACAGTTCTACTTGGGTTGGTTATTATTATTTTTTTTAAAGATAACTAGAATACTCCAAGTTGCCCCAGATGGTTTCTAGTACTGTCTTTCTTTCCTTAAATGATTTCTGGGATTTTCTTATTTCCCATCTCTTTTCTTCCACTTCCCTTCCTTCCTATTATCATGAAACTTGTGTGGAGTCTAATACTCTGAGCCTAGGAAACCGAAAATCCTCCCTGCAGTGTAGTTTTGATCTAAAAATTAAAACATGCTCTCTCGAGTGGTGACAATCCTGCTCAGAGTGAAGGCAGGGCTAATAATGAGCAGCAGCTGTAATCAATTAGCTATCAATGCTCATATCCTTTTTTCCATAATGAAATAGTGTGGCATGTTGGACTATAGCCCAGATTGTCTTTATTAAAATAGTATTTGTAGAAATGGCTTTCCAGAATGCGGTTATTTGTCAACAAAACAACTGGACTTTGAATAAGGGCTATCCTAAGGAACTTGGCCCCTCCAGTTCCTTGTGCCACAGCAAATTGTGTAACATTTTGGTAACAATTTTATAACATGTCCTCCTCTAAAATTAAATGAAGTTGGGGTTCTCCTTTATGTTTATGTCCTAAAGAAAAAGAGCTCATGAAGGAAAATGAAGTTGTTTGAGCTGGCATTGCTTCATTGGCTATTGTTCATTTCCTCTGAACTTTTGCAAACTAAATTTTTTTCAGCCTTAATTCAAGATGGTCTTAGTGTTGCAGTTTCAAGGTCTATGAACTTTGAAATGGTGCAAGTGTCTGGTATGCCATGAAGAAACTTCATAATAGAATTTTTTTTTGTTTTTATTTTTTAAATGTGTTTTGTATGTACATTTGTTTTACAGAGAGGAAGAAGTCTATTATCTGAGATTAACAAAAATCTACACCAGTTCACAATATATACCCTACTTTCTCTTTCCCAACCAAATAGTGATAAGACCCCTCAATTTTGTGATTGAGAGGAAATAAATTATTTGCCTTAAGTTATTTAATACCCTGGATATCTTTTAGTAAATTCCTAGTTACAAGTAAATGGCTTGGAAAAGCTTATAATCTTTCAAAGGTAGATATTTTGTACATCCTAGTAAATTCTAGGCTGTGACTAGATTTTCATGCTGCAGGTTGATATATTTGACCTTGGAATTATTGATTTGTCCTAAATTCATTAAGTAATCAATGATAATCAAAGATGAAAGGAACTGTAGCCAGCCTGGTGATTAATGCTAATCAGTAGTACATTTACCCATTTGTATGCTCATCTCACCAGGATTGAGGCTTGTAAAAGGGTGATTTGGTTGCTGTGATCTTCACTGGGTGTGACTGCCCCTGCTGTTGTTTAGGAACAGTCCAGATCTGTTCCTAGATTTCATTAACATGGAAACTTCCATAGTCTTCTAATAGGTGGAGAGTGGCAGAAATTAGGGACGTAATAATGTGAGGCAGGTATTCAACCAGAAAAACTAATGGTCTTAGGTCACAAAATATGAGTTATCAATGTAGCAGTTTGCAGAAAGCATGTTATATTATAACCCAAAAAAGCATATGTATAATTTTTGTTTATTTGAAAGTGAGTTTGGTTTTAGATGTTTTAGAGAGCTTTTGATTGGTTATTTTCTAATCCCTGCTAAGTGCATATTGATAACGTTTATTCCCCCTGGAGGACATAAAGAAGCTGGTGCATTTAATCCTTTTAGAGAGGAATATTGTCATGGAAGGGGCCAGGGCAGAGTCACTCTCCCTAGGGAGTTTGGGGTAGTGCTTGCAAGGGACCAGCTCTTAGTGAGGAATTCTGCAGACGTGTCAGAGGCTGTGGCAGCCTTCGCTTCTTATAGTCAGAGAGACACTTTCTACATACTTTCTATGTAGCAGAGGGACAGAGATGTTGGCTACTGCTGGAGGATGAGAGGATTTAGGAGTGGAAGTTTATGGCATTGGAGTGTAAGAGTAAGCTTCATCAACTTATGTTTTTCTGGTAGAATTGCAAACTAGTTTTTAGTTGTGCAGAAGATTATTTTAAATAATTCAAGACCTGTGATTTATTGTAATTTATAAAAACTTTTTTTAAGTTTGGGAAACATTTATTGAGCTGTAGCAAGAAAAATAAAAAGCCACCCATGACCCCCAACTCAGAAATAACCTCTTTTAACATTTCAATATAATTTTCTTCCAACCTTTAAAAAAGTCTTCTTTTAATAGAGCCAGTGTTGGGCTTCCCTGGTGGCGCAAGGGGTTAAGATGCAACCTATGAAGATATCACAGCATGAGTTTGATCCCCGCTGGCCAGGGAGCAACCCACATAGCGCAGCAGACCTCTCCTATCTTGCCCGCTGCTCCCCTCAGCAGCATATTTCAGTCAGGCTGCCTGTTCTGTTCCTCACTCTGTCTCTGGTGAATCTTCTTCCCTCCCCTCCACACCTCTGGCCTGTACCCCAGTTCTTGTATGCATAGATAAATAAATCTTTAAAAACAACAAAAACAAACAAAAATAGAGCCAGTGTTCATTATCTCCTGTGGCCTAGGTATTGAAATCATTTGAAGAAAAAGCTGTTTCTGTGCACTCAAGGAGCTTAGGAAGGAACTATCATACAGTTACAATAAGGGTGACATGTGTATTATTGCAGGATTAGTGTGGGATCCTAACTAGTGTGGATGCACCAAGGAGAGGTACTTGATCCCCATCTGAAGAGGAAGAGACAGGGAAAGCTCAATAGAGGAGCTGAGGACTGATCCACACATAGCCAGTAGTTAGGATAAGAGGGTAGGATGAGACAGGTGAAGGTAGAGAGGTCACAGGAATATGTACTTAGAGGAACTGAAGACGGTGCAGGCAGGTGGAGTGCTAAACCATGGGGCAAACATGGCGGGGGTGGGGGTGAGAGGTGAGGCTGAAGAGGTGAGCAGATTATCAGATCCTTGCATCTCATAGACCAGGTTAAGGTGTTAGAACACTCGGCAAACATTAAAAGGCCTTAACGCAAAAAGATGAGATATTCAGATTTTGATTTTTTGAGATGATCAAGCTAGAAAGTACAATAACCCAAGTAAGAGATGGTAGTGACTAGAACTAGAGTATCAGCAGTGCAGGTGGAGAGACAGGGTGACTTTGAGAGGGTTCTATCAATAGACTGTAGATATGTGAAGTCACTATAGACTGAATACAATGGAGAACAGCCTGGGCAGGCCGAGGGTGAGGCCTGGATTTGCAGTTTGGGCAGGTGGAGAATAGGTAACAGTTTTTTTCTGTTGGATTAGGAAACATGGAAGGAGGGCAAGTATAGGGAGATGACATGTTGTGCCTTGGGACATCTAAGTGGAAATTTCAGCAGTAGTTAGACACCAGTTTGGTACTTTTGTGCTCAGGAAAGAGATCTGAACTGAAGACCTAGATTTGGCATCATCAACGTAGAGTAATTGAAATTTGATAGTTAATGAGATAACATGGGATAATGTGTGCTGGGGATGTGTGCATCTAGCTTCAGTCAACATCCTTGTTGGATAGGAAAGATTAGGGGAGGGGAAACAGCCACTGAAAAGGTACTGGTAGCTCTGCTCCAGAATGAGTGAGAGGCAGGCCAGGTGGGCCTCCGCGGCCCTCAGTCAGTCTTGGCCTCTTGTAGCATGAGCTAAGAGTGAGTGCACTGTTGAAGAGATTTCCACAGTTAGCCTTTTGCTTAATTTTCCTTTAGGCACTGACTAGCCTTTAGCTCCTAGTAAGACTGAAGATAAAGCAGCTAGCTACAGTGAAGGGGGCTGGCTTACAGCATAGGTAAAGAAATTGGTCTCAGGCAAGAAAAGAAACACTTGTTCCACTATCACAGGAGAGGAGGGCAGAATGGTGCTGATTCAGTCGGAACCTTGGGGTACGATATATCAGGATATATTGACTACAGGTAAATAAAATCTGTCTTCAGATTGTGTCAAATGTACACAAAATAGGTGAGACACCTGGAAACCTACAGAGAGGGTGGGCTGTAGAAACAACATGATCAGAAGCTCAGTGATATCACCAGGGACCCAGGTACTTTAATTTTCTCCTAAGACCAGTTCCCCTTATGGTCATTAGATCTCCTGACACTGTAGCCCAAATCCCTGCAGCCATTGGGTTACTTCCTTGTTCACATACAGTAGGAGGGGCCAGCAGAGAAAGACCTCCCCAACATAGACTATGCTTCCATACACCAGGTGAGCCAGTCTTACCAGGCCCCTCAGTGGACCAGTGGTCGTCACTAGGGGGATGCCGTGTGCTGACAGGCAGTAGATGAGCCAGGATGTCTGCTTCTCCCCACTTTACTCTAGCAGGCAGTGGTCAGAGTCCTGTGTCTGTGGGAAGGGAGAGGAAATACCTGCTCATATGTGTGGTTCTATTAGGAAGGAGAAAAAAGAGAAATGGAAGTTGAGACAGTGGCTGCCCCCAGTCTGCTGCCTACCTTTTTAAGACTGGAGCATTTTTCCAGCATTTTAGATATTCGTCAACCATGATGTTAATTGTTATATGATATTCTATCTTCATTTAACATACTATATTGGCCTAAGCACTTTCCAGATATTAGCTAATTTAATCTTTAATAGCCCTGTATGACCAGTTTTATTATTTCCATTTTAAGATGAGAAACAGGTTCAGAGGGGTAAATGATGTACCTAACATCACACAGTGAGTATATGCAGGGCTGGGATTCAGACCCAGGCAGTGCTCCTAACCATTAGGAGCTTATTGACGGCTAGGTAACACCTAGCTTATTTAATACTGCAACGTATATCCAGTGCTGAATGCATTGGATTGCAGGGTCTACATGTGTCTATTGTTAAGGCTCTTGCTATGTACTACTCAGGTGCATTCCACAACAACAGCGCAGCTTACTTACACTCTGATGACATGGACATTCCAATGAAAACCATTACTGTGAGCTTCTCCACTTGCTTTTTACCACTCAGAGAAGTGATCAACATGATGCACTGAAAGAGCAGGCTGCAGCAGTCAGAAGTTGATTTTTAGGCATTGCTCCATCGCATGGTAACCATGTCTCCATAGGCATGCCAGCATTCCTTTCCATCCTGCTTGCTTCCTAGACTAACATTCTGTGGGTGCAAACTCTTGGTAGACTATAAAGCGTCAAACAAAGATACTCTCAGTTCAGTTCAGGTCACAGCACTGTGTACTGATGTGGTCTGTATGCACACTGTGGAATACTATTCATCCATAAGGAAAAATAAACTGGTGGAGTGAGAATGGCACATATTAAAAAAACTAGCAACAACAAATGTTGGCGAGGGTGTGGAGAAAAAGGAACTCTTCTGCACTGTTGGTGGGAGTGCAAACTGGTCCAACCACTGTGGAAAACTATGGAGATTTCTGGACCTACTAAACATAGAGCTTCCATATGATCCAGCAATTCCACTCCTAGGTATTTACCCAAAGGACACAGAAACATCAATTCCAAAGAACACCTGCACCTCTATGTTTATAGCAGCACTGTTTACAATAGCTAAGCTTTGGAAACAACCCAAATGCCCAAAAATAGATGACTGGATCAAGAAGATGTGGTACATATATACCATGGAATATTACTCAGCATTCAAAAAAGATAAACACATGCAATTTGCAGCAACATGGATGGCGCTGGAAGGGATCATGCTCAGCGAAATAAGCCAGAAAGAAGAAGAAAATACCGGATGGTCTCACTCATAGCAGGAATCTAGAAAACTTAAATAAGGGACCAGGAAAATGAATAACTATAAGAAAGTGAAAATCAAATCAACAAAAAACTATGAACCAGAGACACTTTAGGGGGCGGGGGTGGGAGGGGAGGGATTGGGGTCAGAATGGGGGGCTGCAATTGTATGGGGAATATAACAATAAAATTTATTTAAAAAATAAATAAATAAAATAAACTGGTGGGAGTTTGAGGAGAATTATGTGCAGTAAATCAGCAGAATGATGAAAACAAATACTGAACATTTACACCAATTAAATACCATGAATACTCTGAGATTAAGGAGAGGGGACAAGGAAAAGAACAAGGGGATATTTAGGATAGTAGTGAGGGGGAAATTCCTTTTCCAAAGATAACCATAAAAATATAAAGTAAATAAAAGTTTAAAAAGCGAAGGAGAAAAGGGACACTGTCCTACTTTCAACAGTCTGGAGTAGAAGAGGAGAGAAAAGTATATTATGTCATTAGTTTGATTTGCTTTATTATAGATGTCATCTTTTAATGTATTACTTGGTGCTTTCTCTTAATACCTGCAGACACTAATGGATGAATGAAAAGGTAGAGAGTTCACTTACTGGGTTTTACCACAAAAGCTTTGTCTTTAAAGAAAATAGCAATAGTTTCTAGAGCTAGAATTTTCCTTTTTGAACTTAAGTTTTCACTCTAGTTTTCTGGTTTGGTTTGGTTTTAGTAGTTAAACATCCACATGCTGTCATTCATGGTTGTGTTTTCTTTTTGCATGTTTTGGGTACAGGTTCGAGGGCTTGGGTCCAACTGTAATTGTGTGTCCAACGACAGTGATGCATCAGTGGGTGAAGGAGTTTCACACATGGTGGCCTCCGTTCAGAGTGGCAATTCTACATGAAACCGGCTCCTACACCCATAAAAAGGTAACATTACAATACTTCAGTACCTTTTTGCTTGTTTTGTTTTAAAGTCTTCCATTTTTCATTTCATTTTTTCTTGGAGCCACATGTTTCTGAAGTGTATGTTCTTGTGTTTCTTTTCATGCATTTAAACCAGTTGTTACTCATTTAATTTAAGCCCTGTATTTTCAAAACAATTATGAATATAGGTTTTGTCATCCTGACAGCCGCTCGTGGTGTCAGGACATGTTTGTTGGCCAGTAGTACGCAGCTGGACGCAGCCAGACTCCGCAAACCTGGGAGCATGAGTGGATCTGCAAATCAGGGGCTTATACAACACTTAACTGGCTGAGTCTGAGAAATTAATGACTTTAAACAATTTTAGAAAAGTGAGGACAAATTATAGTATAATAACTCTTAATTTTAAATGCATCTGTTAATAATGCTTTTAAAACTTTTTTTTTTTTTGAAAGATTTATTTATTTATGCGTACAAGAACTGGGGTACAGGTCAGAGGTGTGGTGGGTAAGAGGATTCACCAGAGACAGAGTTGGGAGCAGAACAGGCAGATTGACTGAAATACACTGTTGAGGGGAGCAGCAGGTGAGACAGGAGAGGTCTGCTGCGCCATGTGGGTTGCTCTCTGACCAGCCGCGGATCGAACTCGTGCTACAGAGGCTTTGGATTGCTTCATAGTGTGGTGCTTAACCCCTTGTGCCACCAGGGAGGCCCTTAAAACATATTTGTAATGAACAAAAGAACCTGTCATTTTGAGAATTTTACAATTTGTATTGGTGCTTTTTACTCAAGTTCCTTTTCGTTCTATGAATTTTTGATCATCATATAACTATAATCACTGTATTTTGAAAGTTTATTTCCCCACTTACAGTTTTAGCCATGTTACCAAAAAGGAGATTTATCTATATTCCTATGGATAGCATCTGTAGATCGTGTTGTACTTTTTTATTCTCATCTCTGTTTCACATTCTAGACTGTAAGCTCGAGTAGGGACTTTGTCTTACTCAATTTGTGTCCCAAGTGCCATGAGTATTTGCTGACTGAATAATAAGGACACATTTTCACTGTGGGTTTGCAGGTTATTGACAAGAAGTAGCTGTTGAGTGAGGGCTCATGTACACTTGTGAAAGCAGTGCCAGCCGAAAGCTGCTGAATGTTGGCGTCCCTGAGCTTCACGCACAAGCCACTAAACTCCAGTGTCTGTGTTATTCTTCCTCCAAATTCCTGTTTTGTTCATGATCATGAGTGAGCAGATCTTTTGACAGAAGTGAATCAGAGGTATTTGCAATTTGATAGCTCACGTTTGGTTAGATGGAATGTTGCTTTTATACTAGTTCTTATTAAAACCAACTTTGCCCTGTATTTAAGTAATTAAGTGGGAAATAAACTGAGTTAAAACAGTGTAGTAAATGTTTGATAAGAACAGTGATTTTATCAGCAAGAAAATAGCAGTTTTTCTAGTCAAACTAAATTATTTTATCTATACTGTCATTACCCTTGTAACACATGGGTTTTCTTTTTTCACTTCCATTTTCTGTTAACATCTCTTAATGTTTTATATGTAAAATCCAGTTGCAGGATTCACTAACATATGTTGTTCTTTATCTTTTTATTTTCTTTTGGGCTAGTAAGGTGTCTGTATTAATTTACAGGTCTCCTCTGCTATCCAAAAATAGAATCTTCCTATTTGTATGAGTTAGTAGATTATTTTTTAGGTCTGGGGACAATATTACCATTAAATTTTGAGCATTTCCAGGCCTAAAATGTAACCTACTAAACCTTCACCTGGATCATGGTTTACCTCTGCCCCCTCTGTTATAATCTGCGGGACTAGCTTTGCATAAATGAAATACATTCACTCATTAACGTAAACAGAATTGACACAGTCAGTGTTTCTGTTGGTGAGACTTGCTTCTTTAACTTGTTTGGCAGATAGAGCCTTAAAAGGTAGGTATTTCGCTTTTATTTACAATGATTCCACCTTCTGAGGTGGTTTTGGCATACATAGACATGTATACATATGATTGGTCATTATTTCTACAGTGCTTTACAGTTTACCAAGGACTTCAACTTGAAGTTTCTTCACTTTTGAGGAAAAGCAGTAGACTTGTGTTTTTACTCTGATTCTTACCTCTTTTTACTGTTCCTTTTCCATTACAAACTACTCATATCTCTAAAGATGTAAACTGTTATGCAAGAGATCACAGAGATGTCCTTCTGCATCTTTCAAATCTTGCTCTTGCTTTTTCTAGCTTAGAAACTTGTTTTGTGGCTTGATTAATGTTTATTTGTTGGATAACTATAAACGACACTCCAGTATTTGATGCTATTAAGGCTCTAAAAAATAGAGTGTTTTTAACTGACCTTGAAAAATTGTTCCCTTAAGAAAAAAAGTATATGAATAGACTATAAAGGAAGGCAGTTTTGTGATACTTATGCCGTAACTCACAGTGGGTTGTGGCATTTTTAGAACTGTGTTGTAAAGTTTATTTAATTTTTATTTAATTATTAAGGACCCTTTTTTCAATTTGTTACAAGATGTATAATGAGAAATTTCTTGTTTTTATTCTGAAATAGTTGTCATTTTATATCTTGCCTGCCTTTTTCTGCTATGTAGGATATAGTAAGCCTGTGGAATGTTTGAGATCACTGAAAGAGTTTTATCTCATTTTGATTAATTTGTGGCATTTAGAGGCATAAAGTAGGAAAAACAACAATGGCCTACAGTTTAAGAGTATAGATTTTGTAATTACCAGATCATCACTTGAATCTTGGCTCTGCTGTTTTGTAACTCACTTCTCTGAGCCTAGCTCTGTCTCCTGTGAAATGGGAAGTTTGGGATAAATTGGTGAGGATATGTTGGGTTAGTATGTGTGCGCGAGGAGCTTACTATGGTCCCCAGCATATAACATTTACTCAAGTAATTCTTACTATTAGAAATAAATAATATTATAGATGTCTTCATCTCAATAGTTCAGAAAAGATACTCTGACATTTCTGATTGACTTAATTTACAGGTCTCCTCTGCTATCCAAAAATAGAATCTTCCTATTTGTATGCTTTAGTAGGTTATTTTTTAGGTCTGGGAACAATATTACCATTAAATTTTGAGCACTTTCAGGCCTAGAATATAACCTACCAAATCTTACCAAGTAGAAACCACCTACTTTTTTGGATAGTGGAAACTTGTAAACATACCCCAGGTAGACGGTTAACACCTCCTTAATCAAAATTGTTTATGGTCATTCTTGTCTACACCTTATTTTCCTTCATATCTAAATACATTTGGCCCCAAATGAAAATAATGAAACAGAATGTTAAAAAATTTTGTTAAATCATTTTCTGGGAAAATGCAAGATGTGATTAAAGAGCAAATCACACAAAATCATGGTTATCTGGTGAAACTACCATCCATTTTCTTTTAAAAGACCCATCTTCTAAAGCAGAGCAAAAACACTTGGCTGTTTTCAAAAGGTGGGAGTCCATTAAAAACATAACAAAGTAGAAAAGGGCCATGATGTCCCTCAAGCATCCTAAATATTTCAGACCCATTCCAAGTACACGAATTATAACGTAATGTGATGTAATTCCTATTAACTTGGAGACGGTGTATACACCTGATACAGGAAATGATAGATGCTGTGCTTGTTCAGTGAAGTATATTGTAAAATTATGTTGCTGGAGCCCTTTTTTCTTCATTGTCAGCACAAATCCTTGTTTATTAAAGATTTAGCTTGAAGGAAATTTTAATTAATTACAGGTGCAGTAAATCCTGCCTGGGAAGCTGCCGTGCTGTGTTTACCATGAATGGCCTTCATGTGCCTGTGCTCCACTCCGCTCTCCCCGCTGCCTGACAGTGTGATTTATGGCTGTTGTTTTCTACCAGTCCACTGTTTGCCCTCTAGGAGGGATTGGTCTCTTGAGCCTCCATAATAACAGCAGCACTTTCACAGACATCTTTTAATGACAACAGCACTGCATTCAGTGAGTCAGGCTAATTGCAGATGTACCCTATTAATTGCAAAAACTAGGAGAGGTTACATATTTTACAAGCTTTTAATTTGAAACCGCCCGAGATGATTTGTCTTAAGTGTTTGGATAGAGACGTCCATAATATTCAACAATTCACCATTATTGAAACTCCAGTCTAGGCAGTTACAGAATTTGAGATTGAATCAGCTGAAAACAAATAGTCTTACATGTGGTTTTACCCAGGGCTGTTAAGTAGAGTTTTTAATTTCAGTGGGGATATTGGAAAAAATCATTCTTTTTTAAAAAATGTTTTCTTAATTCTTACTCATCATTTTCTGTATTTTTATGACTATGATAAAAATTCTCTATTTCAACAGTTGACATTACAGAATTTTCCAAATAAAATTTTGATCTTTAAACACGTATAGGAACTAAACCTTGTTCCACTGGTATATATTTGAGAGGCTTGGCATCTCATTTGTTTAAATAAGGTAAAGTGATGTCCAGAATCCAGTTGGGAGTGGCATTTGTTGAAGGTTCATGGAATGACCATGGCAAGTCTGTGCATTTAGCAGTTAGGAGTTCTAGGGCCCACGAGCAAGTGGACCTATGTTTGCAGGTTTTGGCTGTTATCCCGAGAATGTTTTTTAAATGTAAGTGGTAATTTAACTTCTATATTTCAAGACTGAAACAGTTGTAGTTGTTTTCATTTCTCTGTGCATACAAATAGGTCTGTTCCTGCACTAGAATCAGGTTTGGGTGTTCCCTGTTTTTCAGTTTACTCTGGGCTCATCCCCTACCTCCTTCTTAACTTCTGGGAGTCTCTGCTGTCTTGGAGGAGAAAATGGGAGTAGAGTTGGAAATACTATAGACGTAGCTGCCGGCCTGGAGTGTTGGTGGAAAATACAGATGTGAAGGAACTACTGAAGTCAAGGTTATGGGTCTGATGGGGTGCAGTGCTCACAGTGGACCCGAGGGTCTATGGACAGCAGGCCTGCTTTCCGCACTGGGCTCCAGCAGCTGTGGCAGGGCTA